CTCCGAGCGTCTTGCGCGTTGTACAACGAGAGCACAGTTTGCTTTGGATATTGTCGAAAACACCGGCTGTTTGGTCTAAAGAAGCCGTTTTTTGAATAGGCTGTGTTTAAGTGCGATTGAAGGATATAAGATTGGATTTCGTGCGTTCGGCTGTTCGATTAATAGTAATCTTTCGATTTTGTTAACAGAACAATTCAAATATTAACGTGTTTAGAATTTTGAAAACCAGATCTTTTATAACAATTTTATTACGCTACAGTACAAACACAATGACATTTTAATAAAGAACGCGAATTTCTAATACAAGAACAAAATCACAAAGATACTACAAAACTAGATTAATTAACTAATGGCGGGTACGATTACGAAGTCACTACAAAGATATTGACTTTTGATATGTTACAGCGCGTAAATGTAAAACTAACGTTTCTTTATTCAATGCGTAAGTACATATTTCCTTTATCTGACGACGTGACTACAAAGTAACGTTAGTCTTTTCTTTATTCTATCGTAAGACTTTATTTCACAATAACGATAACAGCGAAAGCTTTCTCTATATTTTGATGTCTTTATAATAATTATGCTGTACCCATGATTGCCTATTTTGGCGTGTGACTACTTTCCACACTGGCGACAGTCTTAATCATGTGACTGCTGATTTTATCAGCTTGCCGTAACGCGATCGACCAAATTGATATCTTGCTTCTAACGAGACTTGCATCTTAGAGAAGAGTCAGGCTTGTGCAGTGAATTCCGCTAGTCCTTTACAAGGCCCGGAGTCTCCCCACATGTGCTCTTCTTTATCTTTATCAATCTCAGAAAGCATATAAGTTTATTTCCTGGATTCAAAAAAAACTCACATACACATTATATTTTGTAAAGTCAATCACTTTTGCAAAGGAAAAATTTGATGCAAATGTCCTGGAATGGATGAAACCATCAGTTATAAAGCCTGTGAATATGCACAAACACTCGATCTTGTGAATGAGACGTCTACTTATGCTTTAACGGGATCAATGTAAATATCCACTTCTGTCTACTATTGGTTTCTTGCGTCAAGACACTCACTGATATGCATAAATTATTTTGCTCCTTTCAGATTTGCACAAGATCAATCAGTTATTTTGCTTGCTGAAACCAAACTACATTTCTCAGCCGGCAATTTTTACATAAACGACAAATGTACTGGCGCCGTTGTAGGACAGCAACCTTTTGGCGGGTCGTGTGCATCCGGAACAAACGATAAGGCGGGAAGCCGTGCTTTGGTGAGTTTGCCACCAACATTGTGTAAAATTAGATGGATCGATTTGTATCTATGCGATCAATAAAAAAAAACTTTACTAATTTGGATGACTTTACGTATCCTTCGAATAAGCGTGAAAGCGTGAAAATTGAATATAGCGTGCATGACGCATTATTATTTGTATATGCGCGCGTTGTATCACATAATTGTGCTAAATTGACTTAATACTCTCATAATACCCATATTACTCTCATCATTCTTCTGTATATACAAGAAATTCACTGGTGCCAGTGTAAATAGTGTTAGCGCTTTCCCATCTCTTGTTGGTTGCGAGAATGCAATCGCCGATCGATCAAGACAACATCCGTAAATATAATTTTTTCTAATAATAAATGCTAGGGTGCCAGTACCACATGAGGCATCTCTATTTGATGCAATAGACGTTTGCAAAAGACAACCTGACAAGATCCAATAGCTTTGTCTACAACGATACTGTCGGGAGACCATGCGACTGATACCACAGATTACTTGTATTGGTTTTGTCCTGGCATTGAACATTTTGGTTAGCGGTACGTCATCTCATACTCGGGCATTAAATATTATTCACCTGTAGAGTACAACAGATGCATCATAAAAATCTCCAAGCCGTTCATTAGCATGACTACTCGCTGTTCTACGCGTGGCTCTGTATGCTTGTTTGATTTGTTCGGCTATAACGCATCCAACGACTTTCTTCTTGCTGGTGACGTATTGGACGAAAGTAGCTTATCTTCGCGTATTTCAACTGACCCTAATTCTCTCGTAATTATGTCAGTGATCACGGCAATTGTTATACGGTATCCAAAGCATGTACTTGAAATGGGCTTACCTTACGCCTCTCGAACCCACTGTATTTATTATTACTAAACATTACAATGCGACTACCATTGTCTTCAGGATAAATTTGCAACATAGCTTTATTCTTATATCCCTATTATATGATGCGTATTAGCATTCAATATCTCGTGTTCATTTACACCAACACGCAACTCACCGGATAATCAATGCCTCCAACACTAGCTTTATGAAACTTTGCATGAACTAGATCATCTTCTGTTCCTTTATTATAAGACATATGACACTCCTTACAAGTAATTGGACCAACGTTATTCTGTCCAGCATCGAGGAACAATTGTACGTATTTCTTTTTAGCATTACTTTCGATAGGACGCAAAGTAGAACGATGGCTTGATTGTCTGATCCTTTTGTCAGTATTTGCGTAATTCTCGCTTGATATCAACTTGCGTTTACCATAAGTTCTTTTTACTTTAGGAATATTGCTTAACAGAGGAAATTTTCTTTGAGCCGAGCCATACGGTGCTAATTACTTATTTTACAAGTCATACCTGGGACATTCCGCTACTGAATTTGCTAGTTGGCTTGGGTTCTCAGTACAAGCCATACTGCTAACGTCTATGTGAAAGCGAGAAACCGATATTAGGTGAATAGACAAGGTAAATGAAATTAATAAATAAACTACTAAAATCTGAGCGTTTTACGCGCTTGACATTCCGTGCACGCGCTCACATCGTCTGATTGGTCAATAATATCATTATCGAACATGTGACGTTAATTATTTTACCATTACCGCTACATTAAAACCTATCGTTACTAATAAAACTCCACATTAAGCAATCTATATTAGGTACTAACAAGGAACAGCTCCCGTGTCAGCTTCTTTTTATTAAGGTTTGTTTTGCATTGGGGGGGGGGGGGGAAGCATTCTTAGAATTATTTAAGTGGAATATATAAATCACCGGTTTACCTCGTAACTCATCTCTCATTTGTTGAAGGACTTCAGGGTCATGTAAATTTTAAGAGGGGATACTGGCACAAGTTTTACTTGTGTATAAATTACTACTTGACACGGGAGATACTCGTGGCCTCAAGCTGTTGAGCGATAATGTGATCATGTACACATGGCTCGAGCAGTGTTGGAACCAATGCATCGTTGCCCATGTCGGAGTATTCCTTGCATGTGAAATTCGGGTAGTAATATTATACGATAATTTTTACAAAGCCATTCATAATTTAGCCAGCTTGTAATGACAATCATTCACAAGACAACGGATCCTCTTGTGAATACACGACGTAATCTATAACTTGCGTAGTAAAAATGATAAATTATAAATAAATAGTCATATCTCTTTTGTATCCACCCTTTATATATCCCAACCTCAGATATATTCCATATTTACACAAACTGTCATGTCATTTCTATTTACGTTCTGCACTTGATATCGATATTATTAGAACAAAGAGATTTTACAACAGAAAATGATGTAGAATGTATAGCAATATATTCGACGCTTAGATGAGCCCGTAGAAAAGGCTAAACGCCAAACTTCATTTATTAGCCAACAAAATTAGATAATTTTAAATGAATGGTCTATGCTACCTCATTTGTATCCCAAAGTTTCTACAACAAAGCACGTATTATTAATGGGTCCGTATTATTTCGTCGACAATCATTTCACCGACAGTACATTTCACCGACAATTAACTACCAAAAAAGGATAACTTCGAAATAATGTTGGT